GCACCGCTTTGGCTCACACCTAACTCCAGGGAGGGGGATGTCCCTGACTAGCCATCTGGCTCGTGACCCCACACTCAGTGTTCCCAAATGTCCACACCAGGGCCCTTAAGGCTACAGATTTTAGGGGTCTGTGGTGCAATCACAGCCTCATGTTTAACAAGCATATGCCTTCCGGATCTTGTTCTGAGAAATGCTGCCTCCCACGTCAGACTAGGTCTTTGAGAGCAGAATGAATGAGTCGAGACATATTCTCTGGCTTGGAGGATGGGTTGGGGAGCCCTCCTAGCCCCCTGGGGTCAGTGCTGAACCTGCAGAGGCCCAGAGGGAGCAATAGGACACAACTTGAAGGAGGTGGGCATGACAGCTGGGGCACTGGGGGATGATTAGAAGTCTGCCAGATGGAGAAGGTAAGGGAGAGCACACCAGGAGAAACCCATGCCTGGGCGTGGGGTCAGGCAGGGAGCAGGCAGGAGGCTGGAGGAGAGGGGTGCAGACCTGCCCTGGCCTGTGAGATGTGATTAATCCCAGATCAGCCTGGCTGGGTGGTCCTGAACTTACAGCAACATACTCCTGCTCCCTCCAGACTCCCCTCTGGCTTCTGGGAGGAGGACATACTTCAAAAGTGCCTGGCCTGGGCGTGAGATGGCCCAGAGACCAGTCCTTCCCCATCTGGCCCTGGGGATGGGGACTTGGCCCTCCACTTCCGCTCTCCCTTGCGTGCAGCCACCCGGCAGAGCATTTCCAGATGTGCATGTGGGCCGCTGCATAGGAGGCCCCAGGTGCAGCCCACATGCCCCGGCAGGGCCTCCGTGGAGGCACTAGCCACCCTCAGGGGTGTCTGCTCAGCCTGTGCAATGGGACCCCCCATCAGTTCTGCTTTGTGCACAGGGAAACTGAGGCTGGAGCACAAACTCAAGACTTGGTGTCCATAGGTCCCCTCCAGACTCGCAAACAATGGGACTTGGGGGCAGGGGGTGTCACCAGGGTCTGGCCGGAGCTCTGAAGGGGAGGTGCCCTGGCCCCCCCACCACACTCACAGCTGTGACCAGCCCCCATTTTTGCCGCCTGTAAAAGGACGACTTGGGAGGACGCAGCAAAGTCCGGGCAGCTCACTGAAAGTTGTGGCGGGGACCCCAGAGGCTTCCACTAGTTTTGCCTCAGTTTCCCTACCTGAGAAATGGCTGCCAAGGGCTAGGGCTGGAGGAGGCCGCCCAGGCCCCGCCCTCACTGATGACTTCTCCCGGGAGGTCCTGGCCCGGACCCCAGACCCAGGGGTAGGGCCCCCCAAACCCCGGGCTGACGCAGCGGCAAAGAACAGCGGAACCAGGCCTGGGAAGACCCGGTTGTTCCCGGACCCCCAGGTCCGGAAGAGGCCCCCGCCCGCCCAGAATGACCCGGGCTCCGGACCGAGCCCCACGCCCAGGCGCAGCCCCTCCCCCACCCCTGCCGGCTCCCGCACGCGCACGCGGACTGCGGGCCGACCCCAGACTCGGACGGCACCCCCATCCCCGATCCCAGACGGCCCGACCACGGGCCCCGCCCCCCGGACCTGGACCCTAACCCAGACCTGGGACAGCGCCACCACCCCCGGGCCCCATCCCCCGAACCCGGATGGCGCCCCCACCACGGGCCCACCCCCGGAATCCGGAGGGCGCCCCCGGCCCGGGCTCGCCCCGCGCCGCACACCGGGCGGCAGTGCGTGGGCCCGAGCGCCGCCCCACGCCGTGTCCTGTGTCCGCAGACTCGTGCGACGGCGTGGAGTGCGGCCCGGGCAAGGCGTGCCGCATGCTGGGCGGCCGCCCGCGCTGCGAGTGCGCGCCCGACTGCGCGGGGCTCCCGGCGCGCCTGCAGGTCTGCGGCTCGGATGGCGCCACCTACCGCAACGAGTGCGAGCTGCGCGCCGCCCGCTGCCGCGGACACCCGGACCTGCGCGTCATGTACCGGGGCCGCTGCCGCAGTACGTGGGGGCGGGGCCAGGGGAGGGGCGGGGCCGGAGGCTCTGACGTCATGTATCGGGGCCACTGCCGCAGCATGTGGGGGTGGGACCAGGGGCGGGGCCGCGGAGGGGGCGGGGCCAGTTCACCTGACGTCATGTACCTGGGCCTTTAGCCGCTGTGCTTGGGGGTGGGGCTACCCGGGCCTGACGTCATGCACCTGGGCCGCTGCCGCTGCACATGGGGGCGGAGACTGCAGACCAGTATGGGTCACGTGGGTTGGGGGCTTGTGGTGGGCGGGGTCTGGGTGGCACCCTCGCTGGGCGGAGCCTAAACACGAGGGTGTGTCACCGGATGCGTCTTTTGTGGGGCGGGGACTGAGGAGGGCCAGAGTGAGGAAGAGTGGAGTGGGGTTTGGAAAGGGCCCCTGGGGCTCTCGGGGCCAGAGAGACGTGCGGAGGGCCTGCCAGGGAGGGCGCTCAGCGGGCGGGGCTCGTGGAGGGGTGCGGCTCGTGGTGCAACGGGAGGGGCGGGGCTTGTGGCGCAGCCTGCGGCGGGGTAGGTGGGCGGGGCTCGCCGAGGGATGCGGCTCCTGCTAGAACGAAGGCGGGAGCTGCACGGGGAGCCCGACGGGGAGGCTCACACAGGGAAAAGGCGCAGGGTAGAGGCTCGAGAACCGGAGCCACGTCCCCCGCGCGGTGCCCTGACGCGTGCCCGCCGCCTGCCTGCAGAGTCCTGCGCCTACGTGGTGTGCCCGCGGCCGCAGTCGTGCGTGGTGGACCAGACCGGCAGCGCGCACTGCGTGGTGTGTCGCGCGGCGCCCTGCCCTGCGCCCTCCGGCCCCGGCCAGGAGCTCTGCGGCAACAACAACGTCACCTACGTCTCCTCGTGCCACCTGCGCCAAGCCACCTGCTTCCTGGGTCGCTCCATCGGCGTGCGCCACCCGGGCAGATGCGCAAGTGCGGGCGCAGGTGCGGGCGCAGGGCGGGGCTCAGGCTGCGGGGGGGGGGCCGCAGTGTGCTGACAGTCCCCGCTTCGCTTGCAGGCACATCCCGGGAGCCGCCGGGTGCCGAGTCGGAGGAGGAAGAGGAGAACTTCGTGTGAGCCTGCGGGGCACGCCTGGGCCTGGAGTCCGAGGCCGCCCCCGTTTTATTTATTGCCACAGCAGAGTCTAATTTATGTCCCGCGGACACTCCCCGGAGCCTGGATGGGGACCACATGGGGACCCTGCAAGGATTGAGGGAAGGAGCCTGGGAGCTGGGCTGGTGGGCAGGCTGGGACTCAGAGCCCTGGCACTGGGGTCAGCTTAGGGGGACTTCGCTGGGAAGGCCCCCCAGCCACCACCGCAGGCACCCTGCTGCCTGGGAACACCCATGCTTCTGCTCCTTTGGGATAAGCTAGTTAGTTATTGCCACCACCAGGAGGGCTGGGGATTCACGAAGAGACACAACTTGCTCTCCTAGCCCGGCCATGAGGGACATCGGGCTCAGGCCGGGAGGAGAGGGGAAGGTCTAGCCTCCGAACCTGGTGACCTTGGCCCAGTGGGATGTGCTCTTCACACAGTCCAAGAAAGCAGCCACTGTTCCCTACTGCCCTAGAACTCCAGCTTCTCCTCCTCCCATCACCTCCATTTACCCCTTCATGTCCCATGAGGGCCACTGAGAAATACCCAGTGTGTCCCCTGGGAGAGGGGCCATCTGTGCCACCCGACACAGAATAACCCAGCCCCCTCCTCAGCTGCCATTCTCGTGGGTTCACATAGCAACATCTCATGGCCCAGACGTGGGGTGGCCAGCAGCAGCTCAGAGCAGGGCACTGTGCGCACTGGTGCCCGGTCCACTGAGGGTGGGACCTGGCCAGCACCTGGAGCCTCTGCCCACCCACCGGCCCAGGGTGGGGTGTGGATGCTAACTCCAGGACACACAGCGTGCCTGGCACCCTGGAGCCAGGTGTCCCTGCACACCCCTGCTGCCTGCCTTCTGCAGTGGGGGTTCAGACACAGGACCCCTTGGTCCCGCACAGCCTGCCCCAGCCGGGCCTCTATACACGGTTCCCAGCTACAGCCTCCTGACCCACCAGCCTGGCAGGGGGTGGTGCTGGTCTTGGGTCAATTTTCCCCAAAACTGCTCACCCACCATGCAGTCTGGGCTGACATTCAAAATCACCTACCTGTGCCTGCATGCAGACCAAAGCTCAGACCAGATATGGGGGTGGGGAGCAACAGGGAAGAGATCAAGCTCCCTGAGTTGGGGTGAGGAGTGTGGGGGCGTTCTGCTCATCCTTCTCCAGCCCTCAGGTAGTGCCTTACCTGTGATGCCCAGAAAAGTGTCCTTGAGCAGCAGGGTCCGCCTGGGCCCCCAGACAAGGCAGCCTTCCCCCCACACTGGGGTCCTGCCTGCCTCACCAAAGAAATAAAGACTGAGAAACCCACTTTGGGGTGTCCAGGCCTGAGTTTGCCTCTGGGGATGCTGTTGGGGTGTCAAGTGAGGCCTTTGAAAGCATCCAGAGGAGAGGCAGAGGTGGATGTCCTTGGAGCAGCTGCCACCCATCTCTGGGCCTCAGAGTCCACCGCCAGGCAGTGGGCAACAGCAGGGAGGGACAGGGAGGCCTGGCGCTGAAGAACAGGGGCGCAGCAGGAGCAGTCGTGGTGACACCGTACCCACACCCTGTGCCAGTAACATCAGCGGGGACTTGCGGTGCACCAGTGCCATTCTAAACTGCTTTCAGAGGATGGGCACGGGCTTGGCAGAGGCCAGGCCACCTTGGGATCCCACGAAGGGAATGGGGCAACCCCACACTGGTGACTCAACAGCCCCTGGCCCCTGCTCAGGGAACTTGGAGTTCCCCCGCTGGAGGGTGGTGGAGGCTGGGCACCCCAGGCCGGGGGGACTGCAGGGACAGAGGCCAGAGGCTGGCCAGAGTGTAGGCTGCAAGAGGGGAGTGCAAATCTAGGGGGTTCGTGGTAGGGGCAGCGGGAGGGTGGGAAAGGGCAGGGGGAGAGGAGACGCGCGCAGGAGTGCAGGTGGACCCTGGAGCTGGCTGCAGTTGAGGCTGCTGTCCATAGTCTCTGGTTGGTCAGTCAACATTTTACTGGGTTCCATTCAGCCCACCCGAACCCCGCACCCCAGGCTTCCCCACGGACCCCCTGTCGCAGCAGCCGTGGAATGTTCCAGGCCTGTATACTCAGTGGGTCTGTGGTTCAGGCATCTCCTGCTGGGGGCCTGGAGGTCCCAGGCACAGGGCTGGGCTGGGGGCTGCCTCGCTGAACCACGTCCCAGATCCAGGCCACAAAGGCAGACACCTGCGTGTACACATCAGGGGTCTTGGGGTCGCCGCACCAGAGGCCCGAGAAGGAGACAAGGCCATGGGCCCGGTTCCTGCACACCAGGGGACCCCCGGAGTCTGCCTGGGGTGAAGGGAAAGAAAAGGTTAGGGTCTCCTCTCTGGGGTCACTTTCCTGGAAAGACTGTCTACAGGTAAATCAGATCACAACCATCCCTGCCTCAAAACACTTGCATGGCTCCCTGGTGCTCTTAAAGCAAAAACTAAACTCACCTGTGCCTTTCAGGCCCTGAGAATCCAGCCTGCACCCACTTCTCTGCCCTGCTCTCCCCCTAATTCCCTTGGTTCCAGCCCAGGCGCCTGTTACTGCCCTCTACTGGCCACTGCTCGTACAAAAAAATACAGGAGGCTGCGGTGCACAACCTGCACAGCTGCATACAGCCCACCTCTGACTGGTCTCTCTGCTGGCATGCCGTCTCCCCAGGGCTCCTTCAAATCTCAGCTCAAAGGTCCTGTCCTCAGAGAGGTCACCCTGAATACTCACCCTAAAACCCCTGACTCCTTGTGCCACCCTCCTAACTGCCATTGGAATCAGCTCTGACCCTATCGAGCGGGTGCGTGAACGTGGCAGTTTCACAGGTGGAGAAAGTGACTTTTCCAAGGTCATGCACCTGGGAAGTGGCATAGTCTGAACTGGACTCAGACCGTTGGGTTCTAGAGTCTGTGTTCTGAGCCATGTCACTCTCTCGAGTAGGACAAAAGACCCCCCAGGCTGAGCATCTCCCTCAGCACCAGAGCCAGCTTCATACAACGCAGGAGGCCTTAGGGGCAGGAGCCGCTTCCTTCAGATCAGATCCACTGCTGCCCCCTACTGAACACTACTTGTATAAATATACAAGTCTGTGGCACTTTATGCAGTGCACAACCTGCACGGCTGAACATGGCAGCCCTGTGTGATCACCTCCCTGCCCCTCCTGGCCTCAGCTTCTCGCCCTGGTCAAACGTCAGTGGGATTCAGTTCCCAAGGCCTTGCCTGAGTCTGACCCTCTCTGTGGGCCTTGGTGTGCCCTATACCCATACAGTGAGTGGGTGAGGCAGAGGATCTTACCGAGCAGAAGCCCCGCCTCTGGCGGTCCCCACTGTGGGTACAGAGCATAGCAGGGCTCAGCTGGCCCTTCCAGGAGCTGTTGCAGATCTCCAGGCCCAGCACTCGGACCTCAGCCTCCATCAGCCCAGGTGGCAGTTCCTCGAAGTCCGACACGAAGCCCCATCCAGCCACCCGGCACCGTGTCCCAGCCTTGGGTGGCCTGGTGCCTCGCCGAGGCAACGCCAGCAGCCCCACAGCAGGGCCCAGGACAGCAGAGCTGTTCAGCTGTAGGGAAAGTGTGCGTTCAGGGCCACTCCCTGCTGCCCTGTCACCCACCTGCCTTCCCCTGCTCCTGTCTCAGTCTACCCCTCTGTGACCCCTGGTCCTGACCTCTGAGAGAGAAATCGATGGCAGCTGTCCTGGGGCTTGGCGGGATGCCTGCTCCTTTTGCCACTGTAACCCCCTGCCCCATCAGGCCTGCCCCAGCCTCCAGCCCTCCAGTCTCACCCCCTCAGCTGCCCAAAGGAGCTTCCAAACCCCATCTCCTTCCCTGCTCTAAGCCCTCCCTTGGCTTCCCGTTGCCCTGGAACAAAGCTTCTTGGCCTGCCAGTCAAGGCCCCCAGGCCCTCCAGCCTCCCTCCCCTGCACCAGAATGGTTTGCTGCCAGCCCCCAGCCCACCTCCAACCTTTGGTCTCCCTGGACCCCTGCCCGGAGCACACTTCCTGTTCCCCTTCAGGGGATATCTCAGCTTAGGTGTCACCTTCCCCAGGAAGCCCTCCCAGACTCCCAGGCTAAGACACCAGCCTCCTCTAGGCTCCCACTTGCCCCTGCCAATGCCATTTACCAAGCTTCTGCGGGGAAAGGGTGGTCCCCTTGGGCAGGAGGGGGCCATGCGGGGTCACATGGATGCACCACACACAGGCAGGGAGTGAAATTCACATGGGGGAGGTGAAACTTCCCACCCAGAAAACTCGTGGGGTGAAGGGTAGAGACCTGAGTCTACCAGTGGCCCTGGATGCTCCCTTCCCTCTCCCAGCACAAATACTGGCACGTGATATGTGTCATAAATGGCCATAAATGTGACAAAAGTCCGTGCCCTTGAGGCCCAGAGGAGGTGGTGGACAATGACCAGGGGAGAAGCAGATGTCACAGGAGTTAGCAGGTCACCGCTGTGGACAGAAGACACGGGGGCAGGGGCAGGGGCAGGATGGGGTGTGTGGCCAGGGGAGGCTCCTAACATTTGAGCAGAGCCTTGTGGTGTCAGGGGGAACGGTGCTCCGGGCGGGGGCATAGCCAGCGCAATGGTGACGAACGAGAGAGGGTAGGAGGTGATGGGGATGCATGAGCAGGGGCTGTGGGCGCCAGGAGGACTTTGGCTTTTGTCTCGAGGGAGGTGGGAACCATGGAGGGTTCTGGGCAGAGGAGGGATGTGGCTTGACTCGGGAGTTCACAGCGTCCCTCCAGCCGGGTTTTTATTTATTTATTTATTTTTTGAGACAGAGTCTCACTCTGTTGCCCTGGCTAGCTCAGCCTAGCTCACAGCAACCTCCAACTCCTGGGCTCAGGCCATCCTCCTGCCTCAGCCTCCCGAGTAGCTGGGACTACAGGCATGCGCCACCATGCCCGGCTAAGTTATTCTATATATTTTTAGTTGGCCAATTAATTTCTTTCTATTTATAGTAGAGACGGGGGTCTCGCTCTTGCTCGGGCTGGTTTTGAACTCCTGACCTTGAACAATCCTCCCGCCTCCAGCTCCCAGAGTGCTGGGATTACAGGCGTGAGCCACCGCGCCCGGCCTCCAGCAGTTTTTAAAACAGAAGTCAGATCATCCTGAGTGGCCGGGGACGGGCCAGACCCACCCCCAGCCCTGGGGCTCACCCGCAGCAGACAGATGTCGTTGGCGTGGGTCGTGGGGTGGTAGTCGGGGTGCCTGACCACAGCCGCGATGCCGAACACCTGCTGCGTGGGCTCCGCGGCGCTCAGGGCGTGGGACCCCAGCACCACCAGGCCCGTCCGGGGGTCTCTGCAGGGAGGGAGGGCGTGTGGGACTGGGGCTGCCCATCGCTGCAGTGACCTGCCGGCCCCACGTGAGAATCACCACGTGGACTACCGTCCCCGGGTTAATGACACTGTTAGCGCCACCAGCCGCAATATTAGCTTGAATCATTGTGATAAAAATATACTTGGAAAGCACATAACACTTAGTATCCTTATACGTCCCACCTCAATTATAATATTAACTACGATAATGTCAATATTCATGTTAGTAGTCATCATAATATATGACGTATATGATATACTTGAAATGACCGTCCTAATAGATTGTTTCACTGTTGTCATGGCTGCTGCGTCTCATGAACTCCCGTTTTCTCCCTGTCACTTGCTACATCCTGCTGAGACACCCCCTCCGGCTGTCCCTCCGCCAGGCAAGGGGTGGGGGCCCCCCCGCCCTGCCCACACCCCAGCTCACCCAAAGAAGGGTCGGGAAAGGTGAGGCTCACCTGTGGGTGAGGCAGTGGGCGGCGGAGACCACCCAGTGCGCGCGGAGCAGGAAGCCCCCGCAGTGGTGCTGGCCACCGAAGCGCAGGGACGCCATGTAGGGCCGGGAGTGGGGGACCACCTCTCGGCCCCCAATGATCCGGGCCCCCCAGGAGCCTGCGGGGGTGGACAGCCCGAGTCAGGGAGCAGCACTGGGTGGGGTGGGGGCCCAGCGGGGGGAGAAAGAGGCAGAGACAGACGGGGACGTGATGGGAGGAGACCGGGCAGCCACAGCGGAGCCCAGGCGTGTCCCTTTCCAGCCAGGCGGGAGCCGGGCAGCCGCGCCAGAGGCTAAGCATTGGGGGCTGGTGGGGGCCTGCCTGCGGGTCCTCGGGGCACCCTGTGTGGGGGTCTGACCGAGGATCGGGCGGGATGCCCGGGTGGCCCAAGCGGGGTCCCGGGGGTCCTCACCTGGGAGTTTCACGTGCAGCGTCAGAGCGGCAGCCACAGGCAGCAGCAGGCGGCCCCAGACCCCTGTCCCCATGGCCGTGGCGGGCGGGTTCTGCTTGCGGCCACGGCCCCACTCTCACCCAATGGCCCGGAAGGGGGAGCGGGCTGTGGTCGGGAGGCCCCACCAGCTACGCCCAGTGCGGGCTGGGGGGTTCTGGGAAGCCATGCCCTGGCGGTCTCAGGTTGTTGCTGATAACGATTATAACCGCACGCAAGGCCAAGAAGCAGGCCATGGAGGTGAGAGTGGGGCTCCTGGGCTGCCATGTGACCTCACCACTCTGTGCCTCAGTTTACCCGGCCTGGATGTGCGCAGGGAGCTCAGGATGTGCACGTGTGGCAAGAGTGGTGCAGCTGCCTCTCCAGTTGCGGGTGCCGGCCTGCCAGTCCCCACCCTGCCTCTCACCCGCTGCATGGCCCCGGGCGGGCCCCATGCCCCTCACGCCTCAGTTTCCCCCTTCCTCCACCTTCAGAGCCAGCAGCGCAGCATCTGCCAGTCTCTCTGCCTCCGATCCTCCTGCCTCCTTGTGGGAGGACCCTGTGCTGACACTGGGCCCTGGGTCATCTGGGGTGACCGACCCACCTTTGGGTCCTTAACCCAATCCCATCTGCAGAGTTCCTTATTCCACACGAAGTGACATGCCGGGGGGCCCAGGGTGCTCACAGCCCACGCACAGCACAGTGCCGACGTCACAACAACGGCTCCAGAGACATCCCCATCCTAGCCCCTGGGACCTGTGGGTATGTCACCTCACATGGACACAGGGCCCCTGCAGACGGGATTAAGGGGGTTGGAATAAGGAGTACCTGGAGCTACAGGTGTGTGGAAGTTCATTTACCTGCAGATGTTGTTTCTGGCCCCCTACCCTGGTTACCGACCGATTTGGAAACAGGCCCAGAGAGGTTAAGCACCGTGGCCAAGGTCACACAGCGCAGGAGGATGTGGCCAGGGTTGCAGCCTCGGGGCAGCCCCTCTGGGCTCTCCAGGGGCCATTTCCTTCCCCTTTCTGGAGCCCATTGTGAAACAAATAACCGTCCTCCCTCATCTGGAGAACCGGGCTCCTGGCAGCCCTGAGAGTGGGCTGGGTGGGGGCAGTGTTTCCACTTTCCAAACTGAGGCCCAGAAAGGGGAGCTGATTTGCCTGGGGCTGCCTGGCAGTGGGTCTGGCAGGCGGAGCTCCTGGCCTGCAGGCCCCGGAGGAGGGGTCTTTCCACGGAGGATCCGAACAGCTCTCCCTGTTCTGGGACACCAGTCAGTGCGGAGTCCGCAGCAACAGTGATGGCAATGGCTCCATTCATGAAACACTTGATATTGATTTCCTGGGGCTCTTTGTATATTGAGGAGACATGCTCTTGGTCATAGCAGTTTCTTTTCCTAAGGACACCGCCCTCCTTGGGGGTGAGGTTCGGTCCTGATTATCTGTAAATGGTGGCTCTATCAGACCCCGGGTGGTCCCTGTGCCCCTTGGCTGTGAGCACTGGGGCTCCCGGGGCAGCGGCGCGGGCCACGGGGCCAGCGGGAGTTGGGCTCCCAGTGTGCTGCTCCTCTCCGTGCACGGACACCGGCCTGGGCCTGCGGGTCAGGGTTGCGGAGCGCAGAGAGGATGGGGAGCTCTGTTCCTCCAGGACACGCCCCCTCCTGAGTCATGGGGGCTGGTGAAATTCGAGGTTCCCGGCACGGCAGGCCTCCCCAGGGGTGCAGGGGACCGAGGGGAGTCGGAAAGGAATGGGCTGGGCCTGAGGCTGTCTCCAGGCCCTCTGAGAATTGGGCCAGTTCCGGGCCTGCCGCACCACTGTGACATGGGTAACAACAGGGTGACAACGGCAATTCCCGACCCCTGCCCTTGGGCACACGTCCTCCCCAAAACTCGAGGACTGTTGCTGTCCCTGCCTGACAGGTGCAGACACTGAGGCACAGAGAAGCCCAGCGACCTTCCCGGGATCGCTCAGCCCGTGAGAGCCACTTGCTTGACAGGGTTTGTCGGGTGCCCGCATGGAGCCAGCCCCCGAGGACCGGGAAGGTGACAGCTGCGGGTGCAAAACTGCAGCTCCCAGATGCAGCTCCAGGTCCCACTGGGTCCAGCCCTAGTGGGGCATGCAGTCGGTGCTCACTGCCCACACCAGAGTGGCCCCAGCAGCCCAGAGCAGTGGCAGAGGGTTCCAGCAGCCAGGGAGGCAGGAATCCCTGAGAATTCGAGAAAGCAGGGCCCAAGCACAGTGGGTGTCAGCCAGTGACGCTTCTCTTTAGACCCCTCACTTTCTTCTTTGACCCCAATACATATGCATTTGAAGGCAATTGCTTCCGGTTTCTCGAGATGGAAAATCGGGGACACAGTGAAGCCCAACAGCTAGTGCCTTCTAGCCAGCCCTCTGCCAGCCCCTGCCTGCCCTGGGGTCCCCAACGCCTGTCCCTGGTCAGCTGGGCGCTGTGGCGGGCACCACCACCCCCAGGACACTTTCTCCTGGACCCACACCCAAAGGCCTGGCAGGGAGCCCAGAAAGGAATGGGTACCTGGGGTGCCCCAACAAGGCCACTCCACCAGGGGGAGAGTGGAGGCGCCCAGAGCAGGCAGGGCCTGGCCACCTCTGCCCACCGCCTCCCCCTCTGGGTCTCTTAACCTTGCAGGACAGCCCTCTTGGCCTCTGGGATTGTAGGATTTTAGCTCTGGGAGGGCTGTGAAGAAAGCAGTTTGGCCACTGTTGGGGTCTGCTGCCCCCCAGAGACCTGTGAGCCTCAATCTCCGCCTCCATGAGACAGGTTGACCCTGGAGCATTTTCAAGGCTGTGGCGAGAATTTGGCAAGGTGCTGGGTGGGGCTAAGGGCCCTGGCGCCTCCCACTGGGGCTGCATTTGCTCGTCTGTAAACTGGACTCTGTGGTCATCCTTCCCAGGGAGCTGTTATGGTCAAGGATTAGGTGGAAAATAGGAAATCACTCATTCATTCCACGAACCCATATTAAGTACCTGCTGTGTACGATACTGTTCTGGGTGCTGGGGACTCGGCAGGGAAGACAGGCAAATTCCTGCCCTGGTGGGGCCGACATTCAAGGGAGGGGCCGGAAGGAAATGCTGAACACAATACGTAAATGACACCGTCTGTTAAAGAATTCAGTGGATCACGCCTGTAACCCCAGCACTTTGGGAGACTGAGACGGGAGGGTTGCTGGAGCCCAGGAGTTGGAGACCAGCCTGGGCAATAGAGTGATCCCATCTCTACAAGAAGAATTTAGTGGGGGAAAAGCAACCAGAGAGGACCAGAGGAATAGGGAATGGTAAAGGATATTACAACAGGGTCTCTTTAAAACAGGGACTCAGTTGCAACAGAGAAGGTGGGGACATTGTTCCCAGAGGAGGGCGCAAGGATTGCAAAAGCAGGGTGTCTGGATGGCTGAAGCCCAAGTTGGGTGTGGGGCAGGGGGAGGTGAGGTAGAGATGGGGCAGTCTGGCTCAGCTTGGCCTTGAGAGTCAGGCTGCAGGGAACTGGGGAGCTGTGGAGGGCGTTTGAGCAGGGGCAGGCCAGCGCATGTGAGAGTGGGGTGGAGAGAGGAGGCTGCGGGTTGCGATGGGGGACACAAGACCTGAGCTGGAGTCTGGGCTGGAGGGAGGTGAGGGTGTCTCTGACTCAGGGAGAGGGGAGGACTGAGGTTTTGGGAACAATGCAGAGCTCAGTGTGAGCCCCCCAGTCCAAGGGTCCCAGAGGATGTCCAGGGGGTGGATCTGCGGGTGGGCTGGAGCAGGGGAGGGGATGCTGCGTGGAGCCCAGGGGACGGCAACGTCCTGGGGGGGGGTGACAGAAGGGACGTTCTCAGGGAAACTGGGTGCCAGTGGTCCAGGGAGGGGCCGGGCCTTCTTCCCGCTGTCGCCGATGGAGCCGGGAGGCGGGGCTGGGTGCAGGGGGCGTGACCGAGCGAGAGAGGCGGAGCTTATGATTGGGGTGGGGCTGCTGATGTGGGGGCGGGGCCAACAGTGCAGGGGATGGACTGAGGGGGTGTGGCCATGGGTGCCGGGCGGGGCTTCTGGTATAGGGGCGTGGCCAGTGGTGCAGTGGCTGGACTGAGGGTGAGGGGCATGGCCAATAGCGCAGGGGTGGGGCTGATGGTGCACGGGCGTTACCAATGGTGCAGAGGCGGGGCCAATGGTGCAGGGGCTGGGCTGAAGGTGAGGGGCGTGGTCAAGGGTGCAGGGGCGGGGCGGGGCCAGAGGTACAGTGACACCTTCCCCCAGACAGGCATGGGAGCATTGTGGCGAGCCCAGGGATGGTGAGGAAGAGGAGGGTGTGGTCAACTCAAGCCAGCGTCTGGCTGGTCCATTTTACGCCCCGCCTGGTCCCACCTCCACAACTTTGCCCAGGCAGTTCTTGTCCCTGGGATGCCCCTTCGGCCGCCTCCCCTCCTGCAGGCCCCCGTGCTTGAGTCTGGGGCTGGTTCTCCCTGCGAGCACTTTGGCTTTTGTTCTGAGGGAGGTGGGAGCCCTGGGAAGTTTAGGTGAAGGCAGGTGGGAGAAGTGCACCCAGCAGTCGCGTTCCCTCCCCACGGTCTCCTCCATCTCCTATTTTTGGACAACATGCATCCACCACCCCTGAAACCTTGAAATCATTTATTTAGGGGACACAAAACGCTGTCTCTGCAAGGATAGGACTTCTGCGTCTGTGGTGACTAATAGTGCCAGGTATACAGTAGGTGCTCAGCATATCTTTTTGGACGAAAAGAACACAGAGGCTGCAGGCAGTGAAGAAACTACCCATAACTCACTTGCATGGAGCCCATAATGCAGGGGCCAGCACGCTATGGCCCTCAGAGCCAGTCGGCCCGCCGCCTGTTTTTGTAAATAAAGTTTTATTGGCACACAGCCACGCCCATGTGCTTCCATATGGCCTCTGGCTACCCTGGTACTGCAGTGGCAGAGTCACTGCAGCAGAGACTGTGGGCCACAATGCTGAAAATATTTACTATTTGGCCTTTTACAGAAAAAGTTTGCCAAACCCTGAGCTAGTGTGTGCTGGGCCCTGTTCCAAGCCCTTTGTGAATATTCACTCAGTTAACCCTCTCCGCCAGCCTTAGGAGGTGGGGAAAGTGAGGCTCAGAGAGGTTAAGACACAGACCCAGGGTCACACAGCTCATGGGGAGGTGAGATGGGATTCACTGGGGGCCTCTAATGTTCCTCACCATCTTTTAGTTTCTTTAACATTTGCACATTTATCTCATTTGCTTAAAATGCTAAAATGAATTCATGCTCATTGTAAAAAGGCGGGGGGTGGGGAGGAGTGCAAGGTCTACAAAGACATAGGTGTAATGTCCTCCCCAGTCTGGGCTACAACCTGCCAGATTTGGTTAAAATTTGCCCAAAGCTGTTTTCCTTCAACGTCTACCCATCCGTTCCCTGAGCACCTGCTAAGTAGAACTGTTTCATAATAATAAACTGAGTTTGGAAGAATTTTCCTCTCCTGCCCCACGCCGGACCTCCGTGAGCCAGAGTGTTGGGGCTAGGACTGCAGCGTTCTCCTAGGAACCGGGGGACCTGGGGGCCGTGGTCTACATGGTGGGGAAGACAGGTTCTCCCTGCCTCCTGCCGTGGCTCCCCGTGCCGTCAGGACAAAGCTTGAGTGGTCCCTGCTCCCTCTGCTGTCCCTCACTCGCTCGGGCCACAGGCCTTCAGGGTGTGCGCCGTGGGAGCCGTGGGGCCGAGTAGACCCATCAGCCGGGAACGACCCTCCGGGCCAGGCCCGGCCCAGACACATGCAACTGCTGCTGTTCCTCTAAACCGAGCCGGGCCCCAGCCCTGGCCGGCCGTGGCGCCTGCAGTCCGCCCACCTGGCTACTCTTCCCCCAGACATCCCATAACGGCTCCTGCGGGACCCCGGGGTGGAGTGCGGGCGTCGCAGCCGAGAGGTCAGCTTCTCGCCGCGGCCTCCCCGGGGTCTCCACTCCTCTTCGCGACGGTGTTTGTCCCCATCCGCGCTCGGCGAGGCATTGCTTGCTGTCTGAGTTCGCGACAGTCCCCCGGACCCGGCGCTGGCAGGGGCGGGACTTTGGCCACAGCCGGGTCCCAGGCCGGCGCGCAGACCAAGCCTGGCCGCGAGGGTAGGACTCCCCAGGATCCCCGGGGGCGGGCGCACGGTTGAGGGACTGGACGCCGCGCCGGGGCGGGGTGCGGGGTGCGGGGTCGGGGCTGCGGGCAGTGCGGGGGGGCCGCCGCAGCGGCCGCGGCCGGCAGAGGCAGCGCAGACTCGCGCGCGGGAGGCGGGAGGAGCGGAGCGCGCGGCGGCGACGCGCGCGCGAGCCACCCGCGCCCGCCGCCGCCCGGACAAAAACAGCCGCGCGCGGCGCGATGCCTGGAGCCGGTCGCCGCCCCCGCCGCAGCAGCCGGGCCGCCAGGCCTTCCCGCTGGGCCCCGCGGCCCTGCGCTCCCACGCCCGCCCGCGCGCCGCCCGGCGCCCGCCCCCGCCCAGCACCGCGGACCCACCCGGACCTCGGCGGGGAGATGGAGTGAGTAGGCGCGCTCGGGCCGGGGCGTGGGGGGCTCGGAGCGCCGAGGGAGCAGGGGGAGGCCCCCACAACCGCGCCCCACCGGGGGCGTCACGGCCTCCGCCGGGAGGGGAGGAGGCGAGGGGCTTCCAGGCCCCCCAGGCTCGGCTGGGGAGGGACGCGGGCTGGGCCGCGCCAGCCCTGAGGCCCCGCTGTTGGACCCCGGCGGCCCACGGCTCTTGGGGACCCGGGAGGCAGTGGCTGGGGGCAGTCCAGGACGCTGGGAAGGGGAGGCTCGGGTCTCCGCCCGCGCGCCGCCCGCGCCTCCTGGGCAAGCCTCGGCCCTCGGCCACCTGTGGGTGGCCCCGGGGAGGTGGAGCGACCCCTCCCCAAATTGCAGCGGTCCGCCCTGAGCTCACCCGCCCTTCCCCCCGCCCCAGCCTGAGCGCACTGCTCCTTGCGCTCTGGACGCGCGCACGGGCCAGCCCCCCGCCCTTCCCAGGGGCCTCCAGTGGTGTCCGGAGCCCCCTGCTCGTGCGTGGTCCAGCCGCCAGATGCCCCGCGTTACCGCTGGAGGCAGGGGGCTTCTCCCCAGGCTGCTCTCCAAGACAGGAGGGGACCAGGCGCTGGGAGCTTGTGTCTGATCCTCTCCCAGGGAAAGTGTCTCCAAGATGGAGCTCCAAATGGTGTAGCTACAAGAGTCTGCGCCCCCGCTGAAATCCTGGGAGCCCTGCATGCCGAGTGGGTGACCTGGGCCCATGTGGGGTCAGGGAAGGAGCTGCTGGCAGGGGGTCTTGTACACAGCAGGTGCCGGGTGAGGGTGCGTGGTCCTTCAGGCACATGGTCCCCCTTCCCAGTGTGCGGGTGACCCCCACCCACCCCTCACTCCCACAGGTGGGCACCCTGAGCCTGTGGGGTGTGTTTGCATGGGCAAGGGGCCAGGAGGCACCTCCTGGGGTCACCCCACCTGCCCACTTTGGGACAGGGCCAGCAGCTGCCCTGCTCTGGGCCCCAGCCAGAGGACCGAGGTCGCTTTCTGGAGGTCCAGCCAGCCTGGCCCAACTGGTCGCTCCCACTGGGTGTGTTTTCTAAGCCGGCAACTTTCCTCCGGGGATTCACCCGTGACCCACCACACCCTCAGCTGGGTGGGAGCCGCCTCCCTCCCTCCCTGGGAAAGCGAGACACCCCGTGTCCTCTGCTTTAGAAAAGCCAGACAAAGGCCTGGCCTGCCCCCCCACCCCGCCCCGGGAGCCCAGCCAGGGGCTCAGGGGAGCCAGGGCCCGGACTTGCCTGCTCACCATTCCCCTCACTTGTTTATCTGCTCTCCCGGCCCACTGGGAGCCTCTGGCAGCAGGGCCAGGCAGGGTGTGGCCGTGGGGAGGGGGCTGCCCGGGAAAGGCGTGGAAACGCCCCCACCCCACCCTGAGAGAGGAACGAGGGAATATTCTGGTTGGACCCTATTGTCTCCTTTCTTTCCCACTGGGGGCGCCTGAGGCCCAGAGAGGGACTGCTGCTGCCCCAGGGTCACACAGTGCAAGGAGGGCCCTCCTGCTGTGTGTGCCCTTATGGCTCCTTTGTCACGGGTCAGCTAGGCACCCATAGGCCACCCGTGGCTCACCGCTGCTTTTTCTGACGAGCGAAGGCCTCTCTCCGCGGTTCTTGGGCTGACAATGGTTGAGGGAGGCTCCATCTGGTCCCGCCTGGTCTTGGACACCTGCCCCTCTCCAGAGCCGGCTCGGGCACCGCAGCAGCGGCTGCTAGAACGTGACCGTCCCCTCCTTCTGTTTCCGTGGATTTCTCAGTCCAAGACCACAGGAGGGGGTTGTGGCTTACCGGGATGCTGGTCTTGGGGGAAAGTTTGTTTAGCGAGTGGATCTTAATGCTGTAAAGATTTCCAAATGTTGTTGATGAAAACATTACATTTTGTTAATTTGAGGATTTCAGGAAAACTGAAGAGTAACTACCTGGGCAGGCTCATGCCGGCAAGTGGGCAGGTGTGGTGGCTGGCGGGGGCGGGGGGGGGGGCAGGTGCCGGGCTCTGCTCTGGGGAGGATCTGTGTGGCCCTGGGTGAGGCTACGCCCCTCCGGGAGGCTCAGGCCTGGGTGGTAAAACAAGGGGATTTTAGCTTGGAGCAGACATTCTCTGCTGCTCAAACCCCTGTCCCGGCGAAGGCAAGGCTCGAACCCTGGGACAAGGACAGAGATGAGCCTCTGACCATGTAGACTGTCCCAGATTCCCTCCCCACCTCGGGCCTGTAAGCTTTCAAGGGGAAACTCTCAACTGGGTGCTAACTGGGTCCTTAACACTCTTTCAGGGTCGCTAATCTCCCTTTTTAAGGAGAGGCGAGCCAGTTAAAAGGCAACAGTATCTAGTGATAATTGAATTTAATAACAAGCTTTTATTTTCATTGTACTTATTTTTTTTCCCCTCCTGTTTTTTTTTTTTGAGACAGAGTCTCGCTTGTTGCCCAGGCTATAGTGAGTACCATGGCGTCAGCCTAGCTCACAGCAACCTCAATCTCCTGGGCTCAAGCAATCCTGCTGCCTCAGCCTCCCAAGTAGCTGGGACTACAGGCATGCGCCACCATGCCCGGCTAATTTTTTCTACATATATATTAGTTGGCCAATTAATTTCTTTCTATTTATGGTAGAGACAAAGTCTCGCTCTTGCTCAGGCTGGTTTCGAACTCCTGACCTTGAGCGATCCGTCTGCCTCAGCCTCCCAGAGTGCTAGGATTACAGGTGTGAGCCACCACGCCTGGCCAGAGGTGTTTTCTTTACTTAGCGATTGCTTTCTGAGTGCTGTGTGTGTGAACCTGATCCTCACAGCAGCCCTAGGAGGTAGGGAAACTGAGGCATGGCTAGGGGAAATGGTGGACACACAGCTGCAAAGGTGTGGGTTGGGGTTTGCTCCTGGGTGGTCCAAGCTCCCACCCCTAAGCTGCTGGGGTAGGGGCCAGGGGAGGGGATTTTGATACCTTCCAGTGAGTGGCTGCAGTCAAGGGGGTCCTGGATATCCTGGAATCGGCTTTCAAACCTGGTTTGTTGTTGTTGCTGGGTTTTTTTTTTTGTTTTTTGAGACAGAGTCTCACTCTGTTGCTCAGGCTAGAGTGCCATAGTGTCAGCCTAGCTCACAGCAACCTCAAACTACTGGCTCAAGCAACTCTGCCTCAGCCTCCCACTGAGTAGCTGGGTACGGCCTGCGCCACCAATGCCCGGCAATTTTTCTATATATATTATTTGCCACTTAATTCCTTCTATTATAGTAAGAGACGGCGGTCCGCTCTTTCAGGTCTGGTTTGAATCCCTGCCTTGAGCAATCAACACGCCTCATGCTAGGATTAAGGTGAACCGGCGCCCGCCTTTTTTTTTTTTTTTTTTTTTTTTTGAAAGAGTCTCGCTTTGTTGCCCAGGCCAGAGGTGCAGTGCCGTGGATCAGGCTAGTTCACGCAACCTCAAACTCCTGGTCTCAAGCATCCCTGCCTCAGCCTCCCCCGAGTAGCTGGGACTACAGGCATGTGCCACCATGCCGACTAATTTTTTTTCTATAAATATTAGTTAGCCAATTAATTTCTTTCTATTTATAGTAGAGACAGGGGTCTCGCTCTTGTTCAGGCTGGTTTTGAACTCCTGACCTCGAGCAATCCGCCGGCCTCAGCCTCCCAGAGTGGTAGGATTACAGGCATGAGCCACCGCGCGGCCAAACCTAGTTTGTTGACTGAGCCACAGGGAAGGTGGCCTCGTCAGGGGTCTCTGCCCCTGGGGCATCTGTGACTTGGGGCTGTTGACTTGGGAGGTGGGATAGGGACCCTGAAGGGGAGTCTGGAAGTCCGTGTGAGACCTTGGGCATGTCACTCTCTTCTGGACTCACTTTTCTCACCTGATCAGTGGGGACATGACCCCACCCAGCCCCGTCCTTGGGAAGCCGGGTCAGGGGAAGGGCAAGTCCTTTTTAAAAAAAAAAATTTTATTTGTAGAGACAGGGTCTCACTCTGTCACCCAGGCTGGAGTGCAGTGGCACGATCATAGCTCACTGCAGTCTCCAACTCCTGGGTTCAAGCGATCCTCCTGCCTCAGCCTCCCAAGTAGCTGGGACTACAGGGACGTGCCACCATGCCCAGCTAATTTTTAAAATTTTTGTAGAGATGGGATCTCACTTTGTTGCCCAGGCTGGTCTTGAATGCCTAGACTCAAGTGATCCTCCTGCCTCGGCCTGCCAAAGTACCTGGGTTACAAGTGTGAGCCACCATGCCCGGCTGTCCTTTCTTGATCTAGGAATCCTGTCATTTGTTCATTTAACAAATACTCTCCACTGGCCATCCTAGCCCTGTGCAGGATCAGAGAGGTCTGGGAACCCATGGAAGTCTTCTCTGGTGTGTGGGGAAGGTTTCCTGGTCCAGTCTCTTATGAACGTTTTCTGCGAAGGATACTTAGGGGTTTACCCAGGCAGGCAGAAGGGCGTACCTGGTGGAGAGACTAGCACGTGCAAAGGCCCGGAGGTAGGAACACATTGGAAGGAGAGAATGCTCCTTGGTTTGTGCTCTTGGCGCCAGACCCTGCAGGGCCTTGAATGCCAGGTAGGGGAACCATGGGGAGCACCAAAGGCTGACTTTGGGCATCAGAAAAAGGTTCCAGCAGCTAAGGGGTGAGACCAGGGAGCAGCAAGTTGTGGCTAAGTCTGGACAGAGGCCATGGGGGCAGCTTGGGGAGAAATACCGGAGCCAGAGGGGGCGGGTCCCCACATCTGGGTGGGCAAACACTCAGCTCCAGGTCTTTGTGGCTGTCGGAGCTGCCGCAGACACAGGGCAGCCTGGACAGGGAGAGCTGGCCTAGTCCCTGGACGCACGAGGAGGGTGGCGGGTGCCCTGCATGCCGCACGGGGGACACACTGCCCCGGAAGGAGTCTTGGTGTCTGAGGAGCACAAACTCGGGCCAGGATGGTTGTCCCCTGCCCAGGGCTTTCGAGCAGGGATTGGGGGACAGTCAGAGCCCGTCACCAGGACAGAACCTGGGCGGGGCTGGGAATTGGGAGGGGAGCCTGCACCGGGCCTGCGGTGGCTTAGGGCTAGGACCAGAGTGAGGGCAGTCGGGCAGGAGGCATAGGACCAGAGTGAGGGCAGTCGGGCAGGAGGCACTGTGGGGACAAAGGAGGAGGGGTAGGACCAGGCAGGCCTGGGGGCAGGGGGGGCAGCGGGGGCACAGGCAGGGGGGTTCTAGATGGTGTTGTCCTCACCAGCTTGTGTCCAAATCCTTCTGAGCACGGAAAGTCCCAGGGCAGGGCCAGCAGGGCCTTATGACGCCCCTTGCGCCGTGGGCAGGACCACAGCCCCAGCCCTGGCCTGGCCCTCGGTGAGAGGACTGGCGTGTCCATTATGCACACGCGCACATGTGTGTGAATATATATATATATGTTTTTTTTTAATTTGTAATAGCTTTGTTAAAATATAGTTCACATATCACACGATTAACCTGCTTACAGCGTGCAATTCTGTAGTTTTTAGTGCATTGACCAAGTGGTGTGTCCATCCCTGCAGTCAGTGCTAGAACTTTGTCATCGCCCCGGAAAGGAAGCCTGTCCGCATGAGCAGTCACTCTTCACCCCCTCCCCAGCCCCTGGCGACCACGAATCCACGTCCCGTCTCTGTGGCTCTGCCTGTTCTGGACATTTCACATAAATGGAGTCACGCACTGTGTGTCCTTCTGTGTCTGGCGTCTCTCACTGAGCACGACGTCCTCAAGGTCCCTCCACGCCGTGGCCTGTGTCGAGGCCTCGTCCCTTTTTAAGGCTGAGTGATGTTCCAGCGTGTGGTGTTCACCCATCGATGGACAGTTGGGTTGTGGCACGTGGTAATTGGTACAGTCACCCCGAAGGTGGCTGAAGCTTGTGCTGTCTTCAACGCGCAGAGTCCAGGCGCTGTTTTAGGTAAATGTCAGTCGTGACAGTGAGTGTCTTTAAAAAGAAGAGGAAGTAATCACAGGACAGGTGGCCCATGGGGCTGGCAGGAGTGTCACAGGCAGGGGTTGAGGTTTGGGGAACCTCTGGGTAAGGCCTTCTTCTGAAGACGGAAAGACGCCAATTGACTTGCTGGGCCCAGCAAACATTTATTGAGTGCCTGCTGTATACTGGGTGCTGGGAGACATGGCAGGGACAAAAAAGACGCAGTTGCTGTCCTCGCAGGAAGACAAGGAAGAAAAGATGTGACCAGGGTGTTTCCTGGCAGTGATGGCTGGGGGTGTGTGGGGGTGCTGGGGGGTTACACTTAATTAGGGAGGTCAGGGGAGGCCTACGTGAGGAGGTGCCATCTGAGGAAAGGTCCGGGGAGTGCGTGAGGCCACAGAGATCTGGGAGGGGGTGCTCCCAGCGTGGCACGGTGGAATTTTCCCACGTGTGGCCCGGGTGGGGGACAGGGTGGAGGGGATGCCCCAGGGTCCTTGGGCTGGCCTCTGCGGATGGATTTGCCTTGCCACCCCCCTGAAGCCAGAGCGGGCCCCACGCTTGCCCCACCGCCTTCCTCCTGGGAGGGCCCAGGGCAGGGGCCAGCCCTCCCGGCCCCAGGTTAATAGGCGACAGGTTTGCTCCTCGGTCCAAGGCCTGCCCTGACCCTGCCAACGCCGCCAACCTGGTGGAGTGGTGCCTCTCTGCCTTGACCCTCCTAGCATTCTCAGTGGCCCCGTGTGTCGGCCACCTCCCCAGTGACAGTGGTGGCCGGGTGCCTGCCTTGCTGAGTGCAGGGCTGGGAGGGGGGCCTTCCGTTGGCGGAGGAGGCTCAGTGAGGCTTCTTGGAGGAGGCGGCTGTGCTGGGGCGGACCTTGGAGGGGGAGGAGGGAATGGGGGAGGGGCGGATACTGGGGCTGGAATGCGGGCAGGCTTGGAGCAGGGCAAGGGGGTAGCGGAGGGAGGGCAGGGGGCTGCCAGGGCCAGGGCTTCCCCCTGAGACTCCAGGTCACGCCGGAGGTGAGAAGCAGCGGCTGGAATCTGGACACCCGCTCCATTCCCTGCCCGGTGGGGGAAGGGGCTGCTGGGCTCCCCCTCACCCCTACCTCCCAGCCCGCGTGACTCCCCCCATGGCCAAGGTCACCGTCAGCTGTTTCCTTTCAATTAGCATCAGGAATGTTCCCGGCGCTGGGCTCTGCGCCTGCCCGGGCAGGGACCCCCTTGTTCCGGCTGGAGCTGCCCGGGCGTGGGCTCTGGAAGGACAAGTGCAACACCCCCCACACGCGTACACACCCCTCCCGCCTCCCCACGACAGCCCGCCTCCCCACGACAGCCCGCCCTGCCCGCTGGGTGACCTTGGGCTGGTTGCGTAACCTCTCTGGGCCTTTCAAAAATAAACGCCCAGCAAAGTGAAGGCCTCTGCCGGGATCTTGTTGGGTTTGGACCTTATTAGCTCATCTCCTGGAGCCGGATTATCTCACGCGCTCGCAGACGACGCCCTCGCCGGGTCCTGGGCCGCCTACATCGCGACGCGCGCCCAGAATTTGCTCCAAGCGCCGTAAAAATAATCCCTCGAGGACAGAACGCCTGCGTGCGCTGGGAGTGGGCGTCGGGGCGGAGGGCGTGTCCCCTCACGGGCGCCCGAGTCCCGCCAGCCGGTGGAGGCCCAGATACCGGAGTGACCTGCCCCGGGACACGCCAGCGGGGCACCTGCCATCCTGCCCTAAACCCTCCCAGGCCTTTTGGCTGAGAAACTCAGCTTCTCCACCCAGCATGTAAGATCTTTTGTGATCTGGCCTCGCCCCCCCCCACGCCAGCCCTGGGGGCACCCTGCGCTGGAGCCGGGCCACCGGGGTGCAGGCTCAGCCCCTCCCCTGGACACCGCGGTGACAGCCTCAGGGCCGGGGCGACAGGCGGAGGGAAGCTTGGCCCGGCCTGGCCCTGCCCGCCCGTGCGGGCCTCGGTTCCCGCGCCCGAGAGAGGGGCTGGCGGCCGGCGGCGGGCGGCGCTCGGGGAGGCGTTCTTACTTCGTGTCTGTTTCATTCGCCGTTTACGGTTGCATTTTGCTTTATTTTTCGGATATGGGAGGTTGAGCGTTTTTTCGGCCTGGCCTGAGGACCTGCGCCGGGCGCGGCCCCTCTGGGCGGGCGCACTCCCCAAGCCCACCCGGAGCCCTCGCACCCCCGGGCGGGGCGCCGAGACCCGCCCTCTCCAGGCAGCCCCAGAGGCCCGGGCGGGGGATGCTCAGCGCCGGCCCCGCCCCCGCGTGCCGGGCCTCCCAGTTGCCATGGGGACGGCGCGGTTGCCAGGACGACCGCCTCCCGCGGGCCCCGCCATCCATCACCGGGGCTGCGGCGCCCGGGGCTGCGGGGCGGCTTGGCGCCCCGGGCCTGGGGAGGGGGCGAGGGGGGCGCCGGCCTGTGCCCTCCGTCTGTGGCGGGGACTCGGGCGGGGAGCGGTGGGAACTCTCTTCCTGGGCCACGACGGGGACATTGTTTCCCGCCTGACCTTCCCCTGCCCCGGCTGAGTCCGGCAGGACAGGCCGCCGGAGAGGACACTGCCCGCCTTGTCTGCGGCCTGGCGAGCCGGCCTCACAGCAGGCCCTGTGTCCCTGTGTCCAGCCTGGATGGCCAGCTGCCCGCTGGGGAGGGGATGGGCGCAGTGCCCTGGGGTCCCACCTGCTAGGTCGGCTTCCAGTCCCAGCTCTGCTGTTTCCTGGGTGGGTCCCTGGAATAGAAAACCAGGGAGGGGACCGCCGTGGGACCTAGAACTGGGTGGTCATTTGAATCCAGCTCTGCCACCACCTGCTTCGTTTTGCCCTCTCCGCACCTGGTTTCCAAACATGGGAAGGGGAAACTGCACGTGCAAAGGCCCTGAGGTAGGACGGAGCTTGGTACACAGCTAGGAGGTCCCAATGGCTAGAACAGAGTGAGTGAGGGGGAGACCAAAGGGGTGAGGGCAGGGAGGGAATGGGCCGGCATCATGGCTCTTCCAAGGGAGGATGGGAGCCACGGAGGCTTTGGAGCAGGAGTGTGACAGGGTCCGAGTCTCATTTTGGGAAGCTGCCTCTGGTTGTGGGGTAGAGAGGATTGGGGGGCAGGGAGGCAGCAGGGGTTGCTGGGGGCATGGGGGTTGGCAGGAAGTAAGGGGCTGGGCCCCATGGGGAAGCACAGCAGAGGGCACCCTGCCTGCTTCACACAGCGCAACAGGGCAGTCCAAGAACTCCAGCTGATCTGGCCATTCAGGAAGGGGCCCCCAAGCCAGAAAGCTGGATCAAGCCTTTCCTGAACTCCACCCAGCTGAACCCAGCCTCCCTGAGGAGGGGGAAAGGGAAGCTGCAGAGGGTGTGGCCAGTACTCTCAGCTCCCGGAGGCACAGAGAGGGAGGGGTAGGTGACACCTGCCAGGAAGGGAGGAGCAGCTGGGGTCACTGTTGGGGCATGGGAGCTGGGTAACTTCACAGGCCTCCGCAAGGCTGGGAAACTGAACCGAAGTGGGGGCGGGCAGGCAGGGAGCGCGGGCTCCAGGGTAGTCTCGACCCGGGAGCTGCCTCCCGGGCTCGGGCATGGGGCAAAGGCAAAACGCTGTGCCTCTGTTTCCCTGCTGAACCAGGGGGAAGCGATGGGAGGGTTTGGAGCCTGAGGTGTCTGTGCCCCCGTGTGTGTGCAGGTGGGAAACTGAGGTCCAGCGGGCAGCAGGGGCTCTTCTGAGGATCTCAGTGGCTCCGGGCCCTGACCGCAGGCTGGGGGTGTTGGGGGTGGCGGCAGAACCAAAGGATGGGCTGTAATTTCAGTCTCTGGAGATAAGGGGTTGGGAGACTCTGGTCCCAGGCTCATGCCCCTCGGCCCTGCAGGCCCCGTGCGCCAGCCTGGGCTCCCCGCCCGCTGGTGCTGCCCGGAGCGGGCGACGCGCCCTGGGCCATTCGGGATTTGGGGCGACGACCCAGACCTCCCCACACGCGTTCAGGCCCCTCCTCTCTCCTCCGTGTGGCCGCGAGCCCTGGGAGCGCCAGGCTATCCTCACGCCCCCACAGGGGGAGCGAAGGCCCGAGCTCGGTGCTGGTTCAGTTCTTCACTGGTCCCTGCGTCTTATTAAGCTCCTATTGCATGCAGCTTTGGGGGCACTGCAGGAGACTGAGGGAAGGAGGGATCAGTTCCCCGCCCCTCCTGCCAGGTGGGGTCAGGGTTAGGTGGCAACGGCAGGGGCAGGGTGCTGCCCTAACCCTGACCCAATTTGGGGTTCTGTCCTGAGCCATGAGTACACAGCTGGCGCCTAACAGCGGCCAGGGTGTGGGTCAGGGAAGACACACTCTCCAGGCTCCCGGGCCTTCCGCCAACCCCACGGAGGGCCCGTAACCTCGACAGCATGAAGCCAGGTTCCTTCAGGTGCATCTGGTGACACTGATGTTTATTAAGCACCTACTGCATACCAGTCTTGGGGGCTGAGGCTAAAACCTCACTGGGCAGGCTCTCCAAAGGCATTGCTTGGATGAGAGCAAAAGTCTGGGCTTGAATCCTGGCTTTGCTTCTTGGCTGTGTGTGCTTGGGAGGCTCACTGCCCTCTCTGGGCCTTTGGGCTCCTGGGAGACTCCAGTGGAGGCTGGTGTGAGAAGCACCCAGAAGCCCCAGGATGGGATCATTGACTTTCCAAGCCCAGGATTGGATGGCCAGGCTGGTGAATGTCCCATCCTCTATGTGACCCCCCGCCCCCAGGGCTACAGAACAGGGCTCGGTGGGCGGGAGGGTGCAGCAAGGGCTGCCCTGATCAGTTGAACAGTCCTGGCTGGGAGGTGACACGCTTCTTCCTGAAACATGTTTGATGCATCCTTCCTATGAACTCCTATGCATCCTTCATGGCCCAGCCTGGATGCCCCCTTCTCCCTCAACCCTTCCTGGTTGCCAGGTGGAGCCTCTCCCCTTCCTGCAGTGACTCCCTTGGTCCTGGAGGAGGCAGGGAAGGGTCCCACTGTGCAGAAAGGGCTCAGAGCAGGAATTGCTTTCCTGTGCGGTCTCCGGCTGGCAAGAGGCAGGGCCAAGCCTCGAACCCCATCCAGCCGACAGCAGGACGGGCGGACCAAGGCTGACCTTCTCCCCTCCCGCAGGGTCCTGGCAGCAGAGACCACGTCCCAGCAGGAGCGGCTCCAGGCCATAGCAGTGAGTTCCTTCCGCCCTGGCACGGGGTGACCCGCGGAGGTGGCAGGGAGGGACTGGGGTCCCAGGGGCACCCCTCGCCCAGCCTGGGACCCAGAAGCGAGGCGCGCGGAGGGGCGAGGTGTTTGCCTTGGAAGCCCGATTCCCACTGATGCCTCCGCTCGGTTGACAATGAGTCTGGAGGTCCCCACTCCTGAGTCCCTCAGGCCACCGGCCCCCCTCCGCCTGTTGGGTGGGGGGGAAACTGAGGCTGGCGTTTACTAGCGCCTTGCCGGCACCGCGCAGGAGATGGCCTTGCGGGTGGAGTGCAGATGTGCTCTGGCCGGCTGCCTCTGCCTGCGGGACGCAGGGTTCCCTGGGCGCGGCTCCGGGACTCGAGGCCGAGCTGACCCCAGGCCCCCTCAGGAGAAGCGGAAGCGGCAGGCGGAGATCGAGAACAAGCGCCGGCAGCTGGAGGACGACCGGAGGCAGCTGCAGCACCTGAAGGTGGGGTGGCCGGAGGGCGGCGGTGGCAGGCGCGGGTGGTGGGGTGGCCCCAGCCCTGGCCCTGACCTGGACCCCTGCCGCCCAGTCCAAGGCGTTGCGGGAGCGCTGGCTGCTGGAGGGGACGCCGTCCTCGGCCTCGGAGGGCGACGAGGACCTGAGGAGGCAGATGCAGGAGGACCAGCAGAAGGCGCAGCTCCTGGAGGGCTCCATCTCCAGGTGGGCGGGCAGAGCGCGGCCGGACCCCGACCCTGACCCGGACCCTGACCCTAAAACCCTGACCCTAAAACCCTGACCCTGGCCCTAAAACCCTGACCCGGACCCTGACCCTAAAACCCTGACCCTAAAACCCTGACCCTGGCCCTAAAACCCTGACCCCGACCCTGGCCCTAAAACCCTGACCCGGACCCTGGCCCTAAAACCCTGGCCCCGACCCTGGCCCTAAAACCCTGACCCTGACCCGGACCCTGACCCTGACCCTAAAACCCTGGCCCTGACCCTGGCCCTAAAACCCTGGCCCTGACCCTGGCCCTAAAACCCTGGCCCTGACCCTGACCCTGACCCAGAGGCGGCGGGCAGCCTGTTGGAGCCAAGCACTAAGAATCGCTGCCCAGCACCCCATCTGAGCAGATGTGTGAGGGACGTGGGCTCGGGGCGGCTCCAGGGTCCCCGAGGACAGGACGGAGTTGCCGGCACCGGCCTCCCCCGGGGCTTCCTGGCGCCAGCCCAGCTGGCTGGGCTGTGGCTGCCCGCTCTGCTCGGCGGCAGCTGGGCCCGCAGGAAGCGGGAGGGGCAGGATGGGGAACGCGGTCATCCCTGGGCCGGCGGGACACAGGCCTGGAGTTTCCGGCACGCGGGAGTCCCAGCTCCACTCGGGGCGCAGGTCAGGGCGAGGGAAGTGACGACCAGAATCCCAAGCGCCTGCTCTGGCCGCGGAAGAGGCCCCCGGGCGGAG